CCCCCCCCCCCCTCCCCACCTTTAAATGTATTTGGAAAGATGCTGAGAACCTCAAGAAATTTCGCGAACCCGTTTTTCCCCTGAAATCCATCTCCTTTGGACTATTACTGGAAACCAAGCATCGTTAAATCGATTTAATGAAACAAAATATAATTCTTGGTGGTAAAAATGAACATAGGGGCCTAATTATTATTCTTATTATCATTTTAGAACAACAATAGAGGTGGCTACAATGTTGGGGATGCTACGGATGAGGCTGCACAAAACGAAGCACAGCAATACCAAATGGTAAGAAAATCCATATCATTGTTTAAGGCGTGACACGATTTCTCCTTAGTTCGTAAGCATACACTGCAACTTCATATAACATTTATACATTATGAAATACATTAATTAAAATCTAAATTCATTGCAGTGCACCAAGTATCTCCTTTAAAAAGACAGGAACACTTAAGTGAACCTTGACTTTTTGGTAGTTTTACTTACTGAATTTAAAAAAATATATTCAGCATGATTATTCTAAATGCCACTTTAAATTTCTATCACAGAAATTTTTCCAAAGCGGTGCTAATGCAGCTAGCCACCTGGCCGTGGAATGGACCAATCAGCACGGCTGTGGTGGAAACGAGGACGATGACCCCCACAAGGTCAACTGTAACATCGTTATACAGTACATGTGTCAGCCGGCTGAATTTGAAGGCAATGGTAAGTGTAGGCCTAGTATAATGTAGCCAGGTTATGGCAGGTTTGGTGGCCCGTTCTAAACCGCAATTAAAGCTTGAACCTTTGATTTATTGACATCGGTGAAAACATTTTCGTTTCCCGACAACGTAGATGATTAAATAATAAAAAACGTTCGTCAACTTCGTGATAGGCATAATTCTTTTAGAAAAACTCCGTGATCTATTTTGATGAGTCTAGGAGAACAACACTTTTTTTATTTCCAGCAAAGGACAGACTTCGCGACGGATTGAACACGAACAGACAGGACTATGCCAGGCCAAGGAGTAACTTGGAGTCCCGCTCGGCTTTCCAGAGCCGTAAGAATAACAATGTCAAAGACAACCGCGTACTTTTTGAGACCTTTGATTGGTATGACAAATGCTTTGTCAGGGAGAGAAATAAGGGTAAGTGAAAAACGGTTTTGGACGATAGTTTTTGGGACGAAATATTTTGTATAATATTGCTTCTATGTTATGTAAAAAAAAATAGCACAATTCTTCTGACCCTTTGGCAGACCCATGTAGGGGACACGGTGGGGCCCTTCACCCTCGATAAAATAAAAAGAAAACTGAAAAACAAATGTAGCGAGACAATACAAAGCATATTTTCCTACCTTTGTGCCGTACATAATACGGTGTAATTTTATTTCTTTTTCTTTTTTTTCCCCGATGTGCAGCTATAAGACTGTTTCCTCAGCAAAATCCTGAATTCACCCTTGTTGCATTTGAAAAAAGAAAAAAAAAAGAAACTGAAAACTGAAACATAATGCGCATTCACACCGTTTCTCCTCACTTTTGCACAAATAACTCACTTTGTAATTTTTTCAGGTCTTTTTACCGCCGATCAGAACCTCCGCACCAACAACGGCTTGGGTGTCAGCAGCGCCATCTATACAAGACAGAACAGAAATGGCGACAGGCGTGGCTACGAGTGCCCCGAGGAGAGAGATTACTATCCATACTGGCACCCCACTCCGTGGAAGGATATCGCCATCTTGGCCGAAAACGCAACAATTTGCAGGTGAGATACAATACTGGTCAAACACGACACTTAATGTATAACCGATGTGACTCCACGAAACTTTGATTACTGATGGCGTTAAAATTATTTTCGGTTGTGAGGATCACTGATGTTATATACTTTTAAAATACGATTGTAATCTACATGACCATGATGCTGGCCATAATTTTTGGCAATATTGAAAGGGAGCTTAACATTACCAATTTTCGTTTAAAAAGTCAATTAACGGGGTTATCCGTCTTGTATAAAATGGACAGTGTAATAAGAAATTCAACACATTTTCAACAGGGAAAAAGAAATAAATCGCTTTATCGTTACAAGTTGAAAATATCTCACTGAATTCATGTTGAAAAGTTAGTCTTATATTCGTGCGGATAAGGTCATTTTGGGATGTTACATTTTAACATAGAATTATCAGTAGAATTCAGACATACTTTTTGCTTTTCTTTCAGTCACTACACCAAGAAAAGCTTTAATGTACAGCACTATGGCGAGTGCGTTGAATACTATGACGATACGCAAACTGTGAGAAGGCACTCCTCCAAATATAATTCCCATTGCCTTTGCGAGACCGTTCCCGGCAATCGTTGGGTCGATTTCTACAATTATTTGGAAAAAGCTCCACGTAAGAACCTGATTTCTGCTTCTCTCTCTCTCTCTCTCTCTCTCTCTCGTAACTTTAAGATGAAAACGAATTCGGAGAGGAGTAAAATGTCTGATGATAATGATGATGAAACTTAGATCATATGTACTTGATATTAGAGATTTTAAAAATGAATAACGATTCATGTAAAATGAAGAGAAAAAAATGAAAGGCAAATTTTAGGCATGGTATATAACCTTTCCGCATTACACTCAATATTGTGGTTGATAATTTCACACGAAGAACCTCATCAAAAATATTTCCCATAAATCAATTTTTAAAACTTATTTCAGAGTACGATACTGAGACCAAATGTATTGATGCCCGACTCAAGGACAATATTGAATACATTTGGCAGATTCCTTACGACTCTGTGGACGCCCAAAGTAAAGAATGCCTTGTTCCACTTCCCGAACCAGAATGTATGGAAGCTCCTTGGACTAGGTGAGTTGGACCAGTCAATAATAACATTTATTTATTTATTTATTTATTTATTTATTTATTTGTAAATGAAACTAAGATGTTAGATTTATCATTCTAAAATTGCCGAAATACTAAAATTGACGTGAAGGACAGTGAACTACTTTTTGGCAAGAATTGTTTTATGATTCAAATTTAAAAATGTATTGGTAAGAAGTGTAATTTGCTGAATTTCTACATTACCCAGAAATATAAGGTTTGCGATCTCACAGTTCTATCTATGGGCATCTAAGTTTTTGAGCACTCGTATAAACATTTTATTTTTTTTGTTGAGATAGCTGGATAAGTTTTTGAATAATGTGACAGATGTCCTATCTATAACACATTAAAAAACACATTTTTCTCGTTCACAAAATTGGACCTCCAAGAAACCACCAGGGTGTGGTTTATCTTAATTGTACTTGCTTTGTGTAGTAGTCTGTACGATGCAGAGACTTACATTCAGCCGTTAAAAGACAAATGCGTTCCTTTTGGAAAATGTTTGGATGATGTGTTGACAAAAAATAGTAAATGAGGACTTTTTATATCCACTTTTGTTCGTAATTCAAATTATCTTAATCGCATTTCTAGGACCGCTGGCTCTTTTATGTTTAATATAACAAAGTAAAATAATTAATGTTAGTTTTAACTTTGATGAGGTTTTTCTCTTTTTTCTTCAGAGTTAACCATAATGGAAACACCCGAGACGGCGTTGCAAGCAACTATACTTGGACTCTTCCATATTTCCCATCCGGGTCGGACCAGCGTTGTATTCTTCGAGTCAGGTAATAGTTTTTGTAAAGTTACGTAAATTGTAGGATTTTTTCTCAATATCTTGCCAATGTTTTCTGCATGCAAGGCTGGGTGGTTGTTTCAAATCCACTCTCTTCTAAAAATGCCACCGATAAACGAGTTCAATGGGAAAAACTAAAACGCGTGCGTTTAGCTGAATTACCTTTTCCGGGTACTTAATTAACAGTAATTGTGTATCAGTTATTGTAAAATAGTTATAGAAATGTCAGTTATTGTATAATTTGACAGTTAAAATACAATAAAAATGAAGTATTTTCACTCAGTTTTGACATATTTACAGATATAACATTTCGACCGATGACTACGATCCTTACAACACAGATCATACCTCCAATAGGAAGGTGTAAGTATAGCCAGGTGTTTCTTTTTCGTTATTTATGCTGCTTTGTTCTCTGTGGTTCATTGCCTTAGGTTTAAGGCATATTTCAGAATATTTGATAAAACCTTGCATGGTAATTTAGTTTCTTGAGACTATGAATGTTTTTATGGGCACAGTGAGAGAGAATGAAAGAAAGAGGATTCCATACTTAATGGTGCAAAAGAAATGTACACCCTTGCATATTTTTTTTGCACCATAAGGGATCAAATTATCTTTCTTATTATTTTTCAAATACAGAATAAGGAACGATGTATCTCCTATTATGCTGTTCTCCCTTGTGAAAGTTCGCCTTGAATTAAAACATAAACAGCATATAGAACACCATTGATATGGTACACACCAGTATTTCAAAGCCAACTGCGTACCCGCACAACTTTTTATAATGATAATGTTATTTTGCATTGCATCACTATACTTCATAGTGTTTCCAGAAATTGTGTTATATAACGTTACCTTATATTATTTTATAGGGTCGGAGGAACCATTGTAAGGGAGTCCCCTATCACCGGCAACCCCACTGTGGACATCGGCGCCGGTCTTTCCCCGCTCCGCCTCAATATCAACACCGCCCAGTTCGGCAGGACATTCCAGGACCGTTCACACGTGTTCCATCTGAAACCGCGACCCACTGAGCTCGCGGACAAGACCATTTACAATCTGAACGTGCGTGGGAAGAGAGGCAACATCGTCCAGACCTATCCAGCAGTGGAGTACGATTTTATCCCCAACGATCTTACCCTTAAGGCGAACGATGTGGTCCATCTGCAATGGACAGGTGAGGAGAAGGAGATCGCGGGGTCTTGTTAGATTTCAGTGGACTCCAGTTATTTTCTTTTATCGCCATTATTGCTCCCTTTAAAAATCAATAACGTTTTTTAATGTGTTTGTAAGGAGATAAAAGTGACTCTACGTGTCTAGGTAACATTATCTCTAGCCACTAAAGCACAACAACAAGAAGCACGAATATTTAAAAAAATATATGTTAAACTTATTTTTATCTTAGCGTTTTGGTATTTTTTTCTTAGGTTCCAACACGCACAACAATGGCAACCCAGCAGGTGATGGGCAGGCGGGTGACGCTGGTCAGGGACAAGGCGGTAAGATCACGTGATATTTTGTTCACGAGAACGCGAGACATTTGCCTTGCTGATAAAAAAATACATTTTCATATGTAACTCGTTAGATTAGTTTGTGATATGTTGTTAATTGGTGAGAAAATCATGTACTCGTTTATTTCCTTGTTTACTCTCTCTAACTCGCTCATCCATGTATATACATATTCATGAATTTTCTTGAATAATATATCTGTGCAACATTGTGATTTTTTAGCTTTGAAACTCTGCTAAATAGGCAGATCTTCTTCATGTAAGTCAATTCAAATATTTATTATATTCATTTGTTTCAAGGAACCGACAGGCACAACTTTGTTCAGATTCTGGATCGTAACCACAACTTCCCGGCGCCATTCGAGGCCACCAGTATGTGGGACAACACAGAGGTGGTGTGGGCGTATTCAGCAGGTCTGGTCGGCAAAAACCCACTGAATACCGCCCTCAATGTGGCCACTTCCGGCTATTATGAGTAAGTTTTTTTTACTTTTTTTTACCCTTTATTACCCTCTCTGTCTTAAGTCTTTCGGTTTTTATTTTTTAAGTTTTATTAAATTACTTTATTTTATTGTTTTTGTCTGACTTCCATTCCGATTAAGCTTTTTTTTTTGCTCCAGCATTGAATGAACGGTCTATTTTTGCGTGATTTATAAACGTGATTCTTAAACGAATGTGATATCATGACAGATAGTAAATTCGACTCTTAGTAACAATTTCACCGTTAATAAAATTTGTAAGCGGGTGTATGCTTCATTATTTGTAATATTATATATAACCAGTTTATGATAAAACTAATAATTTTTTCCCCCTTTTAAAGGTGCTCAACAGAGTGCAGCGAGTCCGTGGGTAGTAAGGATAATCTTCAGGCGCAGCTCAACAACGCTGCTGCCTCGTTCGAGGGCCTTGTTCTGAAGATGAGTCCCGGAAAGTACCATTACATGAGCACCAGGAACAACGCCTTCACCAACAGGAGCCAGAAGGGGACCATCACCGTAGTTGCGGCATAAACAACGGCTGCGAAACTTAATAAGAACAGCCTTCGTGACTTTACTTATGTGATGCTCTTTCTTTTAAATTACGTGTTTAGCATAAATACCGACAAATACAGAATAAGGCACCATTTTTTTGCTGCATCAGCATTTGTATCTCCGATTATACTGTTCTCACTTGTTAAAAAAGCTCGTCTCGAATTCAGACAATAACAGTAGTTGGCTTTCTATTCGGTCGACCTGTATTTCATTATCTTGCGCACTGTATTTGAAAAAGAATCATTTTCAAGCAATATCCGTAGCCTTGTTGCAAGTTTCCTGTAATTGGTGTACTTAGTGTTATCACATTCAGTTCTGGTGTTGTTGGATTTTGCTATCAATTACAAGTATTGAAGTTTTTATCACATTCCATAAAACGCGAAACGTAGCAAAATGCGTGTGAAATGGTAGCTTTTAATCTGTTTGGTTTTATTAGTATTTGTGGCGAAATTGGAATAAACTCTATCGGATTTAGATTTTGTCTTGAAATATCTCTTGCATAAAAACATTTTTGTGATTTTATGCAATTAATTGTCCTGTCATCATTAGGGATGTTTATTCCTCAAATAAGTCGGCTTTTTCGGGTATGGATTGTTTTACCGCTCAATTTTTTTTTTTTTTTTTTTTTTTTTTTTTTTTGCGTGGAAAGTGTTCGTAGATGTTCACTTAACCTATAGCCTATGACGAAAAAGAATGACCTCAATTAAATGCTTATTCTCCCTTGAGAATTTGAAACTTGAAAAGAGATTGTGCATTAAGGAGATTTTTGTACATCGATATTGAACTTGTTTAAGGGACCCCCCTCCTCCTTTGGCAAATGACTCTTGAGGAAATGATAGTAATTAACTATCATATGTAATGGGTTTCCATACATATCTTTAAATCAAGTTCATGGGTTCCTGCATGTTTTCAATTACTATTTGTCACCACTTGAAGGCCAAAACGCCGCCACACTGCATTATATAATTTTTCTTGTATTTATTTCATATTTTTGCGTTCATAAAATTCATTATCACAATATTTGCCTTCATTTAGTGCAATCACAATCCCACATTGCATTACGTCAATAATGCATATTGCTTCAAGTATCACAGATACACATTTATATCTAAATCTAAAAAAAAAAAAAACCATTTTTCCTGAAAATTTCAGCAATTCCCCTTTTTCATTAAAGGATATTCTAACTGAAACTGCTGAGAAAATTGTTATCTAAACGCCCACTTTCGAGAAGTTTTTACCGTTACAAGTGATATTTACCCGTCCAAGTCTCCATTACAAGAGTAACTAGAAACCCCTTGTGGGCCCGAAATTTTAATAAATAAAATTGTAAAATATGGAAATAAATTTCAATATAACTAGCAGACGAATAACGTAACACAGATATTAAGATTCAATGATCTCATAACAAATCACTTTTAGATATAAACTTACCCGAAAATATTTTAAGCAATTTTGATTAATGTAATGGCATTGGCACATGTTAACCATAACCTTTAATAATTTGATAGACCAATAACAACCATAAAGTTTGACCAAGTAAATTGGAATATCACAACGTTTTCACATGCCTTATAATGTCAGCACCGACTTGAGGTAAAACGAGCCTATACTAGAACAAAGTTTCCAGTAGCACTCAGATTAAGAAGCCTGAAAACGAGCTTGTATTTTTCCGTGAAATCGTTTGTTTCAGGCCTATTAATTATATCATTTGTAACTTTGAAGATGCATAACTGTCTGGCACATTATTTTTTGGGTTGTAGTTTCTGTAGGGCAGAATCCCAGGCTAAACGCGCACCCATAATCCTTTGCGTGTCATGAAGAGAGTCAAGCCTTCGGTTTATTGACTGAAGAGATTTTTCCATTTCGTACAAGCGGCCATCAAGGCGGGCTACGGTGTCTGTGAGGGCGTCCTCATCACTGCTCGAAGCCAAATCCTTAAAACCTCGAATGGCCTTTTTCGATAACGTCAAGAACCATCGTTCTTCTGCTAAATCGAACATTATGTTTAGTTTACCGAGTCGAATTAAGTCCATTAGTTTCGGTATCAATGGTGTACTCCGCTCAATCTGCAGGGCAAGGCGTAAAGAATACACTCTCCACCAAGCAGCCTCTTTTTGTCGCACTTCCGAATATGAGTCATTCATTAGCGCGATTAGCAAATTAAGGAGAACAATGGTGCCGACAATGAGATACAAGGTGAATAAAACTTGGAAGAAATTGCGACTGCGGTCCGTCTGGTCAAAATCGTCACCAGACAGGGAGGAGATCTGCTCTGTAAAACCTACCATGATCATAAAGGTCGAATACAGCGTCATCATTGGTTGAGTCTTAGCGGCATACGGGACCCCGACGCCCTGAAACAACGCATAAAAAGCGAAACCAAAGGCCAAAAGAACAAACAAATAGACAAACATAAATCTGGTCAGATCGCGAATTATCATGAATTTTAACATTTGAGAAAACTGATGGATACTTTCAAACGCTTTTGTGAACGTTATGCCATAGAGCCAACCAATGATGATAGCAGTGGCCAGAACGTAGTCCTGGTATTCGTATTTCACCGCATAGAGACCGAACCACGCAACTACGAGGACGCAGAAAAAAGTCCCGATGAAATATGTGACGTGCTCGTTAAAGAAGACCCATAATACGTGCAACAAACGGTCGGAAACATTTGCATGTTCGTTTTCGGAATCTTTGAAATTCGGTGCGCGTTTGTGAATAATGCACTCTCTCACGGCAAAATAGAATTCTGCAAACATTATCAACAGCGGCCATAATAGGAAGAGTATGTAAGGGAAGATGTGAACGTCGTAGTCTACGTTTGTCGTAACTCCGGAGCTGTCGGTTAATGTGTAATTACCGTTGACTAGAGGCGGAGGCAGTACGGGAACACAATAGGCACACAGCAACGACATGTACAGCACATGAAGCACCATGAGAAACCCGTAGAGCCACTGGTACGTCGACCAGAAGTCGTCTGCCATCTGGGATATTGGCGTGATGCTTAAAATTTTTGCCGAACGCGCTACCAGGGGCGAATCGCAGATGATTTCGATCAAAGAGCGCTCATTGTTGGTGGAAGCATCCGTGCCTTTGTCTATTTCATCGTACTGAACTTTTGACGGGGACACAGTTGACCGCCCCGGTTTCGAGCCTCGACGAGGCTCTTTGGTACTACTGTGCTTCTTGAGGCCTTTTGAAGGACTCGACTTTGTTGATATATTAGTTATATCATACTTAATTGCATTACGCGTCTCGAATTTCGTCACACCTGGAATGTTTAAAAGAAATCTTATGATCTCCAAGGCACCTAGATGCGCCGCATACCCAAAGACGTTTGTATCTTCGTTGTTGAAGATTTTGGTTGTCAAAAAGAGAAGGGACGTTACTTTGAGCCTTTGGTACAAGCCTCGATCGTCGTCGGGGTAAGATAAATCCTGCTTGTTGCACCACCACCGCACGGAATTCTCAACGATACAAGAACAAACGTCCAGACCCTTAAGGACAAAAGCATCATCATCGGCGACGCAGAACGCGGTGGTATGCAGCATAGTGTTACCGTCCGCGTCTTGAAGCGACAAATCGGCGCCAATACGGATAAGATGTTCGATTCGGCGGACGTCACCCTTCTTTGCCACGATATGAAAGAGTGTCTCCCCGACGGCGTTCCTCTGGTTGAGATCTATATCCCCACCACGCTGTGTTCTGAATATGTCTAGCATGGTGTTGAAGACCTCGGGGCAGGCTTCGTTTATGGCCGCAACATGAAGCGGGTTATCACCGTCGTTGTTCTTCTGTTTGATGTTCAGGTTTCTGAGGTATTTGAGGACGTCTGGGTTGGTCTGGCGGGCAGCAAAGTGTAAGGCAGTGTTGCCCTCGTTGTCCACTTCGTCCAACAGAGTCCACGTATCGTTGGTGATAATATGGTTGACCAGGAGCTTTACGATGTCCGGGTTGGTGTTTTGGGAATGGATCGCTGCGTGTAACGGTCTCTCTCCACGGTTATTCTTTGCGTCCATTTTGGAAAACTTCAGGAGAGCTTCAACGCAGTCTTCTTCTCCGCTTCTGCAAGCCACGTGCATTACCGTGTCTCCATCGATGTTCTGTTTGGCGACACCTGTCCCGTCGGCGAACTTTCTTAGAACTTCCGTCATACCGGTCGTTGCTGCCACATGGAGAAAGGTGTTATCGTTGCCGTCACAAGCGGCAGGGTCCACGCCGTGTTCTATGAGTAGGGCAATTTTGTCACAAAACCCGAGGCTCGAGGCAACGTGCAATGGGGTCCGCCCTTTTGGGAAAGGCACTGGACCTTTGTCTTTCTTATTGTTTCCCACAAACACGTTGAAGTCCGCCGTTTCTCTCATGTAATCAATAAGACCGACCAGTAAGTCAGAATCGGGGTTTTCGACGGCATAGTCCCAGATTGTCTTGCCCTCTAAAGTTTCGTGTTGAAAATCAGCGCCCTCGCGCGCCAAAAAGAGGGCAACGTCTGCAAAACCGTTTCTACCCGCTAGTAATAATGGAGTGTATCCAAGGTCATCCTCCTGCTCTAATTGGGCACCGTGGCGCAATAGGATTTTAACGACTTCGAGATGACCTTCAGAAGCCGCGTGCTGAAGGGCTGTTTCTCCTCCTCGAATAACCTCGTTAACTCTCGCGCCGTGCTGTAGCAACAATTCCACTATCTCCTCGCTTCCAAGCGCCGATGCCAAAACCAAAGGTAAAACGAGGCCAAGTTTTCGTTTCTGATTGACATCGACTTTCCCTTCTTCTATAAGAGTCTTAACTGCCTCCACGTGGTCATAACGCACCGCCCAGTGAAGGGGCGTGGAACCCTTGTCGTTTTCGAGACCAACGTCAGCATGTTGCGAGATGAGATACCTCACAAGTTCAATATGGCCGAATCTAGAGGCCCACAATATGGCTGTGTCATGTTTCTTATTTTGATGGTTCACATCTACGCCAAAAGACAGGAGGAGTTTCACGAACTCTAAGTGCCCGTGCATTGCAGCTATCAAGATTGGGGACAGGTCTCTCGGTCTTTGACCCTCGACTTGGGCCAAGGTTTCGCTCACCAAGAAATTCGCGCGAATGCCAGGCTTGTCGATGCGTCTGATTAGTATTCTAGCCCTCTCGACGTCATTTCTCTCGGCAAGCACGTGTAGGACGTTCTTTTTTGATGTTTTACCGGCAACTCTGGATATGAATTCATCCATGAGAAACGATGCAGTCTCATTTTCTATTAGGTAGTCTACAATGCCATAAGCGTTCTCCGCAAGAGCGTGATGCAAAGCATTAACGTTATCATCAAAAAGGGGAAGTCTTTCCCTGGATTTTAGTCTTCTGTGCATTTCACTCAAACGACCGACGTCATCTTTATTGATGCAGTCAAGTACCTCATTTCTTAGCTGTAGTTGCTCGTGATCATCATCGTTGACCCTAGATTGTTCCTGGGGTATTGTGATGACTGGCTGTTCTAGATGAGTCAAACCTTTCTTTCGCTGCCTTTGGGACAACTAAAATGAAAAGTAAGATGTAGTTTATTTCTTATCAGATTTAACCAGAATCATAAGCGTTCTTCTCTTCAGTTTATTTTTATTTTTACTGTTATGATGATGATGATGATAGATGGATAGACAGACAGACAGACAGATAGATACCCTAAGCTTTCTTCTTTTCATCAGTTCCGTGTAGTCTCCATCTGTGTGCATCCCCGCCGACTTGCTCGGCACCATTATTGGAGGATCTTTCTCGCTTGATGTTTTTCTCGACACCGGAGTAACCCCTTCGTTTTCCAGCTGGGCATGTTCGATAGTAGACATAATCGAGAACTTGCGAGACTTGGACTGATCTTCCTCTTCCGTTTTTGAATGCTTCTAAGAAAGTTAATTGAAAAATATCTTTATTTATCTTTGAACAATTGTTGTTCATTTTCCTTACGCATTTGTGCTCACAGCAAATAATTTGCGTAGTGATTGAATCTCTCTCTGTCTCTCTCTCTCTCTCTCTCTCTCTCTCTCTGTGTGTGTGTGTGTGTGTGTGTGTGTTGGCTTGCGTGTGTGTAAGAAAGCGCACGTGTGTGTTTGTGTATTTAAGTGATAATTAATCTGTAAATGATTAACCATTGTTAGCAAAGTAATGCCATAATATTATTTGTGGTCATTTTCCTATATACTCGTACACACGTGCTGTTAATTTAATAAATCAATTTAATAAATCAATTAATAAATTAGTCGTAATTTAAATTAAAAATGGTAAAAAAAATACGTAGGCAGAATGAAACCAAGCCAGGGCAGTTTATGCCTGGGGCGGGGGGGGGGGGGGGGAATATGGGGGGTCAGCGGGGGAATTTTTCGGGTNAAATTTTTTTACATTGTTTTTGAATAATTGGCCCAGGCGGCTTTAGCAGCAACAAAATTAGTATATAAATACAAGGCTATTAGGGAGTTAAGTTTAAAGCAAAACATTCGCAAACATGCCCACTCTTGGTTTCAAATACCTTTTTCTTCTTTTTCTTTTTCTTTCTTACATTCAAATCCGGGACTTGGTCCCTTCCCTCATCTTGATCCATTATTTGTTTAGTCAGCGGCTGGCAACTGGACGAATAGATAAACAATGAGAGAAAAATGATAAAATCAATCAGCGTATATGTATATTCGAATGCTTTGTTAAAATCACATTTAAGTAAGAATTTTTCTACTATTACTAGAGAATTGTAACCCTAAAAATAAATTAAGGAATACCATGGAGAAAGCTTCAGCCAAAATCATGTATCTCCGAGCATGTAAAATGTGCTTTGCTTTTAAATGATTTTACGCGAAATGGTACCGAGATTTTATGGTATAAGAAACCACCCAAAGAGAAACAAGTGACATTTTGTCATTTGTCATTTCAAGTCGAATAGGTGACTAAATGGAGAGGTGCATTGAAAATGTGTTCATTGATTACTTCTTATTTTGTTGTTGATTACTTCTTATTTATTTACTCATTCGCGCAGTTTTTCGGTAGTATTTGTCTTTATTAGTATTTCCTGATGGGTGCATATCGTTACACAACATAAGCAAAAATATTATGTTACGACTGACTAATTTTAATTTAAAAAGCTCTAATTCAGTAACCCTGGGCTAAAACGCTTAACTATATATAGCATTATATGTTTATCATCACGTTGGTGTTATGCTCCTACTTCTTAAGAAAGGAAAATAGGTAATCGCAAGTTAATTGTTGATTTAGGATTAACTCTTAGTGTATTTAGGGATTAAGTTACATCAAATGTTTGACAAGGGGGGTGGAAGCATCCGCGATAACTGTCATTGTCTTGATAGCACCAAGGACCCAGTAAAGATTCTCGGGTCCTGGCTACATGTAGCACCTATAAAAGGCCGAGACATCAAGTTGGTGGATCGGAATTAAACAGAGCATATCATATCAAATGCCCATGAATACACAGCAAGATACCAAAATTGCATTACAGAGGGCCTTTTGGGGTTCTCTACTGCGTATCCGAGAGAGAGAGAGAGAGAGAGAGAGAGAGAGAGAGAGAGAGAGAGTCATATGACCCTCCTAAGCATTTCCCTCCCAAAAATTAATAGAGCAAGTAAACCGAGACAAAATCGATCTATCAGTGCATCCTTGTGCCCTACATACTGCAATAAAATTGTCCTCGTGTGGTATTTTAAATTCACTTTTAATGTCTTTCTTCTATCTTCTTTTCCAGGTACTTTTACCTCAGGACCGTAGTTCTCGTGCTCGGTCTTAAAAATTATGATTTGTACTTTGAAATAATATATACATGTATATTTTATTTGACGACGGTAGAAATCATTAAGTTTGCCGTCCATTGATTAAGGAGCAATTAGCAAGTCAACATAATATAGACATTGATCGTATCAGTGGAGATTTCAACCGTACATAAATATTACACGATGTATAACCATTAAATAGAACTCTGGCGGTATCGGCATTTTTTTTTTTTTTTTTGGGGGGGGGGGGATTCACAAGAGAATAAAAACTCACAGTTAAATACAGCGTAATATATGAAGACTGTGTGAATGTAATATGTAAGTCACAGTGATGAAAATCTTGATTGGTTTTATCCTCTTTTGCAGGTTAAACCTCCACCCCGCCCCCTGGCTTGTTTTCATTACTTCCTTATTGAATATGTCTTTACCATTTTTCAGACCTTAGCCATTTTGTTTTTCCACTTAGGTATATAGTATTGAGCAAAGGTGTTTTGTGTCCTCAAGATGTCATGACGGACGTGTGGCGAAACTAAAAAGTTTCACTCTGGATAGTTCTGAATACAGCACAACCCTTTTTGCTTGATACTATGTTTCACTCAGCTGCTCTGGTGACTTGATCACATCTGAGAGTCAAAGATACCGAGCAAAAATGATACACTGTACTGAAGATTTATTGAAAAGCTAACGTGTTGTTAATTAATATCACTATACTGACGTTATTTGGAGTTTATAGGAATATGGAGACTAGAAACTTATGAAGACAAAATATATACAGACTCTAGGTAGCAATTCCATCGAATATTTAATGGACTGGTTTTTAAAGACATCATTAAATAATTATGCATAATTTCACCCTTGAATGTCACAGTGTGACTGTCCCTTTTGTGGGGGTAGTCGATACCCTACATCCACAATCCTGTCTGTAAAAGGGACTCAGCTGGGTGTACCGCACCTGTCACCATATAGACATAAGAGGTACAGGTACAGGTAAGACATTGATCGGTAATGATACGTTACGTGTAACTTGGGTATGATGGGTAACTTGTACAAGTTTGTATTATTCTATAGTGACCTGTGGATGACGTCTTAAGCCTGGTATTGCATGATCTTGTGGAGAGGAAAAAAAAGTTAGTGTAATGAGCACCGTGGCGTACCTGTACCGGTAGTATCAGTACAGAGGAAATGCACGCAGTTAAATGCATACCTTCAAACTTGGAAATCCCTTCCTCTTTCTTTCTTGAGTGTTATTTTGAAGGTGTGTCTTAAAGTCATTAACTCCTGGATTCTCCCATTGGGGCTTTCTTTCGCAAACGCTCGGACGCACGTTATCTTTCTCTGTGTCCACAGCAGTAAGTGTGTCGCAGTGAGTTTTGGACGTCGTCACAATACACTGAGTCTGCTGGACACATTTTGCATGTCAAAACGAGGTCAGCCCCCTCCATGTTTATACGTTTCTATGTGTGTTGTCACGGGTAAAGTAATGCGCCTTTTGTGTATTGATGAAAAGAGGGTTAGCCGTACTATCGATCTTCTTAAACACTTGATAAAGGTACAAGCGAATACTTGCATTATTCCCGTGTAGATTGAGAAAATGAAGTTGTCTCACTTTTCAAAAACTGATATTTTGTCAAAATATCAAGAGGGATATACTTTGACTCAGATTTTTTTATCAAGTTGAAATGTGAAAAGAGCACAGATTGTAAAGCATAGTTCGATACATTAGCAAAGCTTTCGTGTGAAATTTTTGCAAGAATTATTTATTTATTTTATGTCAAAGTCATAAAATATCATGGAAACATAATATACGCACTATTGCCTATGGGACAATAATTCTCATAACAACAAGAACAGCAAATAGTTATAATTATACGTAAATAAAAGACAATATTTTAGAATCAAAATGGTGTTAGCTTTAATTTGTCAAATATTAGTCGTAGGGAATTCCCAACAACTTCATCAGTGCGATGTAGTGAAATCATTCCTAGAATATCTTGATAATGCTTCTGACATGAAAAAAAAAATACAAAATTGCTTAAGTAGTAAAGCCTTAACTTTCAATAGAAATAAAAACTTTTTATCAATGCAAATTTTAAATTTTTTACCCTGAATAAACTTAATAGAATGTCGCGTTAATCCAATAATTTCAAACTCAGCAAAATAATTGGACTTCAGAACATCACAACAAAAATTATTTGTTACCTCGTTCATGATTGGAACCTTACTAGAGTTTTGACTGAGAAAATTTTATCAATCTGATTTTAACTTTGTACAAATGGCTGGGAATACGTGTTGATGTTAAGTGAGAGACCCGTAGCCTGGGGGGGGGGGGTTCAGGGGGTTCAAACCACCTCTCCCCCCCCCCCTTTTTTTTGCTGGGAAAAGGTCCTCTCTGGGTGAAATTTTAATTAGGTACATGAAGGCTTGATGGTGAGAGGTCTATAGTCAATAGTACATGTATTATGTTTTCACGAATTCAATAATTTGCTATTTCTCCTCAGACTTAAAAACACAATTTTGTCAATGCTCTATCCATGGCTACGGGCCTGCAGTGTTATGCCACGATGGACCTTTTATGTTTATTCAGAACAGTCAGTATTCAGTATTGACACAATTCCCACCACACAATTAAACGATGATGCAATCGAAATCGCAAACTGAACACGAACGGATTTTAGTCAGCAAAGGTCAAACATCAGGCTCGTCCCCCATCAACTGCTGGTCATTCGGCCGCGAAAAACAAACAGATGTGTAATCCAGGCAGATTCGATCAGGATGTGCGACTAATCAGGCATGTCTCGCACTATTGATATCGATATCCGCGCGTGTCGGTGTATCACGGTCTCCAGGTACCCCTCACCATAGCCACGGTGGGATGTTTTCACTGGATATTCACTACAAATATTTATTTGGCAACTTCTCTGCAGCGTGAAATTTTGCACAGAAAGGGCAGAGGGTTGGAATCAAATCTTTAAACGAGTGCGGTGGTAGTGGATAAAATTGAAAAAATGTTCAAGTTACGCAGGCTAGGAGGGGTGATGTCAAATTAATTGTTTCAGTTTACTTGTAGTTGAGCATAGTTTGCATAGTGGCTCATGATCAGTTGCCTGGTGTCTCGGTCTACAAATATAAGCGACGCGCCGCAAATACATGGATATCTGACTTTTGATTGAATTTCATTTCATTTTGACACTAGTGAATACAGGAACAGTAAAATTATCTACCCCTAGCTGCTTCCTGAGTTTATGACTGGCGTGCACGTGGCTGAAGAGATATACGTGTGTGTGTGTGTGTGTGTGTGTGTGTGTGTGTG